CCTTTGCAGAACCTACGTAATGCCTGACAGCCTCGAATGTGTGGCAGCGCACAGTGCACGGGGGACATGGGGGTCCTGCAGGTTCCGAGTAGGGCCTGGGGACAGGCCTCTCCCCAAGGCGACAGCAGCAGGAAAGGAAGGCAGGCTGAGAGAAGACATCACGGGGCAGCGAGAGAGCCAGGAGCCACGAAGGGAATGGTGGCCGCGCAGAGCACAGCGTGGCCAGGGGAAGCTGGGGGTCCCTCGGTGGGGATGAGCAGGCAGGAGGGGACGGATGAGTGGCCATCGCGAGACAGACCACGCAGGAGAGGCTTGAGGGAGCAGCAGCAGCGTGTGCGGATGGGAGAGACGGTAGGCCGGGGCCTTTGGTTTCCCTCCAGGGAGACGTGGGCGCGCTTGGTCAGCAACGGGGCGCACGCGGTGACAGCCCCGCAGAAGGGAAGGAACCTTGACCGAAGGCCACAGGTGGCTGGCCCTGCACAAGCCTCCTCACGGAACAGTAACTGCTCCAGGAGGCCCACGCTCTCCCCGCCAGTCCCACAACCAGCAAGCGAGGGAGCTATGCTCAGACCCCATCTCCTCCCCCTCGGGCCGTGCTCCCCTCACTCCACTGTTTTGGGGAAGGGGGCGAGCCACTCAACACCCAACCACGGTCTCCATGCTGGGACTTACCTACTGGTGCTGGTGGCACTTTCCTTAATGGGAAGAAAAAATTTGGACGAAGTCACCTTTTTATACTGAACTTGTTCGTATGGGTACAGCAAAAGCAACGGGAGAGTATAATCAAAGGTTATTCTTAATCCGTCCACCATCTCCTTGCAAAGGTCAACGCTGGAAGGATGAAAAGGAAGCGCTCAGAGATGCAAGACACAGAACTTGCCCACCGGTCACGATAAGGTGGTACGTTTTGAATAAGGCAGAGTTTTAAACACTGTATGTTACACCCACACACCCGAGGAATAAAATGAATCTAGATGCCAACAACAACCAAGAATTAAATAGGAACAGTGGGCTTATGATAGAGAGTGCAGGGAGTCTGTAGAGATTTTAACTTACAACACTGAACACACGAGTGGGCTCAGTGCCCCACCAGGAGCCCAAGCGGAAGGGGCGGGACCCATGAATACCTCACCCCTGTGTGAACTTGAACACTCTACTTGTCCAACTCCACTCCGTCCGGCTGAGACGCGTGCGCCGAGGCAGACCCCGGGGCCAGTTACTCAGGCCAGAATAAAGGCCTGTTTGTAAACAAGCTTTGATCAAACCCCTTCTAGTGCTTCTCACGGAACAAAGTTACCTTCTGAAATTAGATCGCTGAACAAACTGGTCCTGGTGTTGCATCTAGACCAGATGCAGTTATTGAACATTTAAAAAAAAAAAAGGACAAAAATCGTGTACCTATGGATGAGGACAGTAAAATAAAGAAATAAAATAAAATAAAATAAAATAAAAAAATAGTAAAAAAAGAACATTTTGATACTAAATTGCATATTAAGTGACATGTTAAACGAATCCATAATACTGAAATGGAGACAGTGTGACCTCTTCTAAACAACAGTCACTTCTCTGATACACAAGAAGAGAACCATACCATGCCAGCCCCCCTCTCCCACTCACTTCTTTTCTGCCGGGATGTAATTCACATTCATGCTGGCTTGGGCCATCGCGTGATGATGCCGGGGCCGCTCAGTAGCAGAAAAGGCTGCATTGATAGCGAAATGCTTCACGTACGATTCCAAGATCGTGATGATGTTGGTCTGGCACGGAAGTTTCACTAACTGTCAAAAGAAACAGACCCAGCTGCCGCACACATCCCACGGGATCGGCCACCTACTCCCGTGGTCGGCAAACAGCGGCTCGCGAGCCACATGCGGCTCTTTGGCCCCTTGAGTGTGGCTCTCCACAAAATACCACATGCAGGTGTGCACGTACAATGCAATTAAAACAGCCACACTCAAGGGGCCAAAGAGCCGCATGTGGCTCGCGAGCCGCAGTCTGCCGACCACTGACCTACTCCAAGCAACGGTGGTCTTGTCTGCATCGCTTTTCAAACCCCAAATGAAAGCCTACTCAGTGCGAAAAGCAGCTTTGAAATAAATACACTCTGAAGCTCTCGGATGTTTTTTTGTGTACCGATCATAGCACCCTGCACATTGCAGCATTAATTTTTTAAATGAATGCGAGCAGCGAGTCTCATGTTAGCCATTAGAATCGCCTGGGGAGCCTCGCAGACTAGCTCCACAGCCGCCCCCACCCCAGAGCCCATGTGCGCTTACCCTCTGAGTGCCAGTCCAGGAATCAGGTCTTTGCAAAGCTCCCAGAGGGTTGACCTGGGCAGCCAGGCTGGGCAAGACCGTGCACACTTGAATTCTATCAGCAGCAGGGCGCTACCATCAGATAACTTTGAAACCTGACCCGGTCTACCCCTTACCATGGAAGTCTCATCGCCCCAGGGTTCTCAAGGATTGGACTCTGGGATGACGTTCTATCCGACACCCATGCGTACCCGTTTCCTCCTGTTGATGTAGTAGCAATCGTCCTCCAACTTCTTCTTCAGAACGTCGGGGATGTCTATAGTGATTGCCCTTTCGTCCATCGCCCTTTTCCTGCGCGGCTCCAGTTGTCCCTTCTGCGACATTAAAATTCCGTATTTTTAAAACGTCTTAAAACAGGAGGAGAGACCATGTCCAGAGGACGAACACTTGAAAGCCTCTATGATACAAAGCCAGTTAATCCTCCACAGTTACCCCAGTAATGATACGTGTTCTGATGAGAAGTGCATTAAAGGCCACATTCACTCGTTTTAGGACACTAACCACATTGCAAATGCTTTCTTGTCTCCCCATTTCATTTCACAAGTAGGACTGAAGGCAGGCAGGAGATGCTAAACTGATACACAGCATTTAGAAATAGTCACCATTGTAACAATAAAATTCGCAATGTCACTGAAAAGTAACAGGTCACTATGACTTGTGCAAATACTTTACGGCTGTGAAGAGCCACTGAGAGGGTCATCCGGTGACTATACACGAGTTATTTTCCCTTAAATATGAAGTGCGACTTTATAATATTTGGTTAAAAATGTATTTTTTACCAAATGATTCACGACTGGAGAGTTCTACCACTAAAATCAACACCAAAGAGTTTTCACAATGAAACCTTTACCACTTCAGTCTTTTCTTCAATGTCACTTTCTTCACTTATTGCTCCATCCTTTTCTTCACTGCTGTCACCAGAGGAAGTGCTTACAGCTAGGTGAGACACAAACACCAAGCAAGCCTGGGTTAGCCACTTCCCCAGCTCTTCCAGGTCCTTAGGGTGGGATGTGTCCTACTGCCGGTATCCACACACTGCAGTCCTACATATATTTTAAATGCTGAATGCAAACATCGTACCTTTCAGAATGGAAATTTATTTGGAAAAACATAACACCGATTTCAATGAATGCAAAACACACCCAAGAAAATGATCTGAGCCCTAGCCGGTTTGGCTCAATGGATAGAGTGTCAGCCTGCGGTGGACTGAAGGGTCCCGGGTTTGATTCCGGGTCAGGGCAGAATGCCCCGGCTGCGGCTCGATCCTCAGTAGGGGGTGTGCAGGAGGCAGCCGATCCATGATTCTCTCTCATCATTGATGTTTCTTTCTTTCTCCCTCTCTGAAATCAATAAAAATGTATTTTTAAAAAGAAAAATAAAGACAATGATCTGAAAGTGTTTAGTCATCTAGGATCCCACGGTTACCTGCTGTGTTGGAAAGTGAGGCCCAGACCCAGGCCTGGGATGAGTATAGACACTGGCCGAGAAGGCAGCGATCAGAAGTATGTCTGATGAGGACGGATTATGAACTTAAACGACGGCTAACTTACTTGTCAAAATTGAAAGGGGCAAATATCATATGTAATGAGCTAAAAACCTTTCCCTGTGTAATTTCAATGATTCCTCCTGCTCAGTCCTGCAGTATAAAAGAAGTAGGTGAAAGTTCTCTTATTATTATTTTTTAAATAGATTTTTATTGACTTCAGAGAGGAAGGGAGAGGGAGAGAGAGAAACATCAATGAAGAGAGAGAATCATGGATCAGCTGCCTCCTGCACGCCTCCTACAGGGGATGGAGCCTGCAACCCGGGCGTGTGCCCTGACCGGGAATCAAACCGTGACCTCCTGGTTCATAGGTCGACGCTCACCACTGAGCAATGCTGGCCGGGCGATAAAAGTTCATGTAACCAGAGAAAATAACAAAATAACTCATGCCACTCACAGTTTTCATCACTTTTATCTTTTTCTTCAACGGGGAGGCTTTTTAAGACAGAATCGACACCAGGCAATCGGCAGCGCTTCTTTTTTCTTCCTGTGCTTCTGGAAAACAAACAAATAAAACACGACTGAAATAAATTTTAATGTTGACTGATAAGGGTCTCAAGGTAAAAAAACAAGATAGAACAATAAAGATTCTTAAGCAACCGGCAAATAATGAAGCTGCAGAACATAAATGGTGATCTCCACTTCAGATTATTACATATATACAACACCTCCTTGGAAAACACAGCAGTTATTTACAATACAACACAGGCACTCTTTGCTAACACATTTTTAGTAAGTCCAATTGCATAATAAGCCATGCTTGTCATATGTTTACTTTTAGAGCCTAAAAATTCTACACATTAGGAGAAAACACATTTGTCAGGATTGTTGTATTCTCACAGGCGAGCTACAGCTTTTCTTGCCAGTTTCCGCTGTAATCTCCGATTTTCGTCAGTATCTCGAAGGACATGATCTTCAGCTGCCCACCTATCCCAGCTACAAAACAAACAAAAAAGGATAGAAAATTCAGTATTTTAATTCACTATAAAACAAATGCCCAACAGCACCTCAGAGGAACGGAAGTGTCCCAAAATTACTTACATTTTGGAAAACGATTTAAATATTTTAAAGTCACAAAAAATGCAAATAAACTGAAAGAGGAACTCATTTAGCCATAGAAGCAACTGGGGCTTCCAGAATTACCCAGAGAGAACTCAAATATAATCAACTTAAAAGTTATCATTCTTCTGCATAGGCAAAGTTTGATTTCAAAAAGCAAAAACTGCACATGAAACTTTTCTACAAGTGTTTCTAAAACTTAACAAAACCCCAGGTTCCTGTGCTGCAAAGATGATCAATTTTCAGTCAGGTTTAACAAATACACTCACCTTCTGTTCCAACCATTAAAATGGATTAGATATTCTGGAATCTTTCTGCCTTTTTCGTCTTTCCCAACAATAACATCCACAATCTGAAACCAGAAAATATTGTCCACAAATGACTGAATATACACAACACCGGAAGCTAGATCAGGAAAACTCGATCATAGACCTTTTTTGAAAAGAAAAGGAAGTATTCGCTCCTTTTTTAGACCGCGAGCTGTGCTGAAACATTTTTCCTTTCAATTCCATTTTTTTCCTGACTGGATGCCTCAAAAAAGGAAACATCCCTCCAAACTCCCCGTGATTGGTCTCTGAGTGTGGGACTGGGTGCGTCTTTTAAAGCCATTGGCCAGCCAACTGTCAGTAAAGAAGAGGCCTGGCCAGACCAGAGAGCTGCAGCCCTGAGACCTCTGGGAGTTGTAGTCTCTCCAGCGCCACTGTGTCCCGAGCCCCAGCCCTTCCAGCGGTGTCCCCAGAGGGAACATGTGGGGCAAAAGATGGGGCGTGTCACCCCAGGGGATACTCATGGCGGGGAAGGAGGAGGGAAATCAGAGACAAGGGTTTCGGGGGCGGAACCCTAAAACATAACTCACAGAACCCGGGGTCCTTGGGAAGTCCCCCAACGGGCAGCGCTGCTCGGACGCACCTGGGACCCCGGGCCAACCCCACCACCAGACTGCGATGCCCACTCCCTCTCGCCGCCTAGACCGAGGGGCTACAGATGGGGCTCAGTCCCCCGCGAGCCCCCTGAAGGGCAGGGGGTGCGACTTGGAGATTGAAAACATAAAGGCCCTGAGGGACGGTAACACTGGGTCAACCTAGCCCTTGTACCCTACGGGAGGGTCCCAGGCACGACTGAGGCCCCGGGACAATGACGTCGCGAGTCGACAGGCAGCGCTGTGGCTTAGGACCTGGGTCGGTCGGTGTCTGTGTCACAGGGGAACCCAAGAGGCGCTCCGCGCAGGACGAAAGGACTTAAGGCGCCATTCCGTGAGCGGTCTCCTGGACACACAGCCCAAGCTGCGACCACGTACACAAATCGACGCACGGCGAAAACCTCGCGAAACCTCGCGACCTTTCAGGCCGCGCGTGCGCAGTCCCGTACCCCGGCCGGAAGCG